TAACCTACCTCACCCTCACCCCCCCCCTCTCCCCATATCACGCATTCGTGCCGTGACCTCGGATTCGTGCACGACGGATGCTGCACGCCGAAACCCGTGCGATATGTGCCACGAACTTTCTCGTAAAACGTTTACGAGAAATCCAGTAATGCCCCATAAGCCTTAGTTTCTTCCTCCAAAAGTAATTTTCGTCTTTTTTTCCCGCGGGTCATTCACGATTATGGGGAATAATCGTTCCTTTAGGAAATAGCGTGACTATTGCCACGATCAGCGTACGTCTTCGCCTAGCGTACAGCGTGGGACTAAATATTTAATGATATTTTATATGACAAGAGTAACAGATAACATATTTTATAAAATTGCCATAATGAAATCGGAATTGCTCAAATATTATTAAAGTCATAAAGTACTAAAGTTTAACGCTATTCATCTGAAACGTTGAATATCTCGGCAAACGTTGATATTATTAACACGATATTCGATATATTGATGAAATATTGATGCTAAATATTTAATATTAAATACAATCACATACAATATAATAATGCTAAATATATACATTTATATAAAATAGAAAAAGCGATTTTATTTTATCATTTTCTATTGTTTTGCAATCATTTTCTATTGTTTTGCAATAATGCGATAATATTAATGAAATCGATAATCCTATTTGCAATTATTGATATGCATCAAGCAAATGTAAAAATAAAATAATTAACAAAAAGCTCTTTAGATAAAGATAAATTTCTCTTAGTAAGTAGATTATAAATAGGTTGCAAATAATGCGATGAGAAAATTATTATAGTTTTGAGAGATGTTTCTTCGTTGTCGATCGCGACAACGTATCGATCCATGTCGCGTTGTTGGAGCGAAAATGATATTTGTCATCTCACTTAGCTCGTTGTGAAGAAATCCGCGATGTCACGCGAATAATGTCGCGCTAAACGCGCACGTAACTCATTCGCGGAATCATCACAGCAGAATCGCAATGAAGGTCCGGAAGATCGACAAAACGATCTTGTGAAAAATCAAATTCTGAAACGTTGATCCATTCAAATCGCGCAAATTCGAGTCATTATCGTTTTCCATTTAGCATAAAAAAACATGAGATTTCCGATCCTCCTCACGAGAAACTATCACGTTTCTTCCTCGAGAAAAATATAACGCGCTGCTGATTGACTAACTGATTGTTATATTAATGCGTTTTTATTATTTGACCAAGAAAATTTAACATTCCTATCTTCCTAATTTCGTTCCTAATCGCTTCTAATATTTGTTAAATAACTTCTTATCGTGTATTATCTAAAATAATTATTGATAGCGTCGATATAGATTTGAGGACACGTTTGCTTTCTATAAATCGTTTTTCCATTTTTTTTTTTTTTTTTCACGATCACGGACGATTCCGATTTCTCCGCGTCGCTTTAATGGCGTTACAAATCGGTCCAGGATTCCGGGCATACCGGCTGATTTGAGATAATCCCGGCTTCTCTCGACGGATTTGTCGCACGCGCCCGTAAATGGCGCGTGTTCCAGCGACCGTGCATTCTTCACGCGGACGAGAACTGGTTGTTTCACTATTGCCGCCGTCGCCGTTGTTGTCGTTGCCGTTGCTATTGCCGTCGTCGCCCGCTGTTCCTGACCGGTGCCGGGCCCGTATGCGTGCACCGACCAACGACCGGACGAGGAACTGTGCAAAAACTTGAAAAGCCAAGCGAACATGCGCTCGCATGTACGGAGGTTATGCAACCCTGTGAATCCCGTTGTCCCCCTTCGTCGGCGGGGGGGGGGGGAACTGTCCGACTATCCGCTGCTGACCGAGTGAGCACACGACAACCGGCCCAGGGCCCGGGGCCCGGCGACGCAATCGCTATCCGCGAAAGACAAAGTTATCCGTGGCGCTTTAGGAACGTCACCACCTTTCCCAGTTCCGAGGCGATCCGAGGTCCGATATGGTAAAAGTGCGACACCGGATCAATTAGATCGCGTGGACGACTTTGAGCAATTCGGACGGAATCCGCGACATACAAGTGATTTGATACGTAAATCGTTGCCGATTTCCCTAACAAGACGTACACGTCTCTCGCGCACGATCAGACGAGATTTCTCTCACGTTTAAGTCCGATCGAGCATGAATTTTTTCGAGGGAATTATGCCTTAAAATTACAAAGTTTTCAAATCTATTCAACTGCGAATGCTACGATATACTTATTGCAAATAATACTAGAAATATGTTATTGCTCGACATATTACCGAATGAAAAAAAAAATATATATATAGAAAGTCCATCTGTTTTTGTCTGTTGTTGTCTATATGTGCACTTTGCGTGATTCTAACTGCGAAATGGTCGGAAAGGATCGAATATATGCGAAAGGTATGTTCTTACATGACCAATAAATCGTATAGAAAACGGAAATGCCATTTGGTACCTGTGGCATACGTATATACTTGGACTCCTGCGCGCAGGATGGCATCGTAATCTCTTTCGCGCACTCGTGACGATGATTAAGGATCATCTGGTATACGAGCAGACTACTTCCAACGCATCTGGATCGTCGCAGTTTGTGATTGCCGGTAGAAGATTGCGCTGTCGTTCGATGCCTCCTTTGATGTGCATTTCGGACGCGTATGCGCTTCGCGGGGGAGGGGGGGATTACGAGCCAATCATTTGTCGCCTGTTGACTGATGATCTACTATTTTGATCTATCGAATTACGATCTTATCTTCCCAGGCAGTACAATTTATTGATTTAATCGTAAATAATGTAGAAAATACTACAAATAATGTAGAAAATAATATCTAATTTGTAATTTATAATAATTTGAAATTAAATAAATTAAATAAATTAAATAGATTAAAAAATTAAATAATTAAATAAATTGAAAATTTGATGAATATCGTTTTTTAAAGAAGAAAAATGATTTGGTCCTAAAATGATTGGGCTCATTTATTTACAACATAGAAGCCAATTTTTACGATTGAGCGATAAACGCGTGGTCCATCAATTCCTAGAATATTTAATATGTGTGAATAAGCCAGAGTTTGCAATCGTGTCACTTCAAATGACTCATTGTGATGACATCGTTGCGATAATCACCCGGAAGTCCAGCGAATCATCGAATACTGCCGAATCCGGACCGAATCATGGGCGAGTGAATTTGGCCACTGTGAACACTTCATCGAACACTTTGTTATTTCCGATCGGGATATGTACCGCTATATGCGAACTTTCAAGATTTCTGCCTATTATCAATCTGCCCACGTAGGCTTTTCGATCAGATGAAACCCGAAATCCGTGTCTTTTCGCAGCAGCCTCCGTAACAATATAACAAGAATTTTTTTTATACTTCACCTTATGCATCTGTTCCGTAACTTATGTAATATGCGTTAATCGATCATGACGCAATATTGTAACAACGAAGGAAACGTGAGAACGCGGATGTATGAAGTTGCGTAAATATGCAAAACTGCTCTTGTAATCTCGTAACATATGCAACTTTAATAAGGAACGATCGATCTCGAACTCAAAGAAGAATCAGATCAGTATGGCTGAAAGTCAAATTTACATACTACATGATAATTGCGTTGCGTTGATAAATATGTATCATCGTTTAAGTAATCACGAAGTAAATTGAAAAAAAAAAAACTGCATATTTTTCGCTTTTAATACTGATGTCGGTTTAATTTGCGACACAATTAATTTCGTACACGCGAACTTTAATTAATGTAATGCATATGTTAAATCAACTGCTTAATTTAAGGTACGAAATATACTCTGAGACGAACCGTATTCTGGGACTGATCAAAAATTTCGCCAGGAATTTCGCACGGAAGCTTAATCGAACGACATTTAACCGACTTATGGACCGCGAACATTGCGCGCTCGCATTGTGGCATCTCTCGAAATTTCCGGAGGGTGCGAGCGGTGAAAGACTGCAAAGCTGCGTCGTAAATTAGTACTCGATGACCGTGCGAGCGAGACCGCGCGCACCTTTCGAAGCAACGGGTCTTTTCGAGGCAGTTTTATCGTCGGCCGACAGGCGTTTAACTTTACGAGCGGCCACGCCACGTATATACTCTATCTCCTCCTCCTCCTTCTCCTCCTCATCCTCCTCCTCCTCTTCTTCTTCCTTCCCCTCCTCCTCCTCCTCCTCCACCACCTTCTCCTCGTCTTTCTCCATCTCGTCTTCCCGCTTTCTTTCTCCATCCTCTTCCGCTCCCTTCACCCTTTGCTCGCTCTTTCGCGTCTCTTCGTCACTCTGCCCTTCTCTTTCTTTCTCGCGTGCGCTTCTCTTCTAGGCACAGGCATGCTAATTCACGTGACGCGCGTAACATTAAACCCTGACGTTTAATCCGGTAGAAACGCGCGTGGCTTACACACGGGCACCGACCGTCGACCCTTTATATGGTTCGGTCGTACGGAGGTTTCTCTCTCTCTCGTGAACGTATCTGGTAATATCCGGCGCGAAAGTACGGCGCGGACTTCTATCGCGATAATGCTTCGTTTGTCCCGATAATCCGATTAATTTATATGGATGAGCTGCGCGCGGCATCGCGGTTCTCCGCGATTCTCCGGACGTGTCGGGGGTTAAAGGTCGGGTCGAGAGCCTTCGCGCGAAAATTCATGATCGTCCGACGATCGTAACCGCGAAGCTGTTAGATATCCGGTGCGATAGGTACATTTGTAGATCAATTTAACGAGCAACACGCATTAATTTCTACGAATGCGTCAGCGAAATATTCCGTTCCTTAATCTCGCCATGTGATTTTAAGTGACGTAAATCTAGAAGTATCAAGCGCTGAAGCGTTTGAATGAATAAGAAGTATAATACCGCTATTATTGCCGTCATTGAATATATAATTTTCTTTTTTTTTTTTGCTTTTGGCGCAAAAGTTCATCGGGTATCCGTTTCGATGTTTCAAAATAAAAACGTAACTTTGATGTTGTCTGAATAGTTACAGGATCAATCAATTAATAAATTTACTATTTTTTGTTACAGTCATTCTTCGGTCGCACGTATAATAACCCCACTAGCGTCTCGGTATGTAAGAACGGCGGCAACTGCGTAATTAACAAGAGGAATCGGACGGCTTGCAAAGCCTGCCGATTAAGGAAATGCCTAAACGTCGGCATGTCCAAATCGAGCTCGCGTTACGGGCGGCGTTCCAATTGGTTCAAAATCACTTACTTTTCCGAGCAGATGAGGCTAAATAATCGAACCACGAACGAGATTCCATGTCGGCCTTCCGGCATCGCCACACCCTTCCGTTTAAATTATCCACCGCAAAGTGATGGCAGTAATGAGACGGACGGCCCGTCGACCAGTCAAGAAAATCTGGCGGCATCTCAATATTCATACAACGCACCAACGTTGCACAGACCAGACGGATCGCCTCGTCCCGACGACATGGCTTTGTACCATCAATATTACCTGCACCGTTTGTACTTGGGAGAACACCAGCCACAACTACCGTCCGTCATATCTCCATCCACGTCGAGGGAAGTCTCATCGTCGCCACGTGATAATCCTTCGCCGCGACAACGAAGTCCGTCCGCAGAAAGTTCCACGATGTTCACTCAGGGGACATCGTTTTACCCGTCGGATCCTTACCGATCGCCCATCGCGGCGGAATCATCACTCTCGAGAAATTACGTAAGACACGTCGACGGATCCGACAGCGACGAGGACGATCGTCTTCGTGACGTACAGTCCAGGAGCAGCTCGAGTCGATCGCCGGTCACGCCCTCGAGAACAAACGAGCAAGAGTCGTCCAAACCTAAAGTATCGATCAACGGTATGCTCATGTTCGCGGGCCAACATTCTCTATTATTCCCGGGAGGGATGTTCTCGACGGGGGCGCACTCGTTACCACCTACATGGAGGTATAATAATCTATTTTTGGTTAACCCTAGTACCAGTAATTCCGGCGACGACGAACCAATTGACCTCAGTATGCGAGCGAGCGGCAATTCGTCGCAATCCAGAGAATCACCGGAAAAAGAAGAGAAGGAGAAAGAGCAGAACGAGAAGAACGATGGATCGTCTACGGAAGAGACCACGACGTATCCGCTCGATCTAACGCGTTCCGCTGGTACGTCCTTAACGGCGAATTGTTTTTGAAGTTCATGAATTGAATTCCAAATTAGATTGATTTTCTTCGCCGATTCGAAGTCGTCTTGGTCCGAAGAGACACGTCTAAAGGTCCGTGCGATTTTTAGAAAGGTAATTTCGAGAGAGGTTCGAGAGGACAGATAATATTCATAATACCTTGTTCCACTGATGAAACAAATAGAAATGAATAACGTAGCGAATATCTGATGTATATAGAACAATTTTCGCACTGGAAAGACAGCGATGTGATGTTGATTGCAGGGAGATGCGAGTCGTTTTGACCGCCGATTAAGGTAGTACCATCATGAAAATGTGTTCATTTTGTACATATATAGAATATTCGAAACGATTATATTGGTGCAGTTAATTTAATTTATTTCAGACTAATTGAGATATACATGACTCACACAGACATTTTGAATCATTTTAAACAAACCACATAAATAATTAATTAATTTTTTCAAAAATATTATAATAGCTTATTTACATGTTCTTAATATCATTTCAGCAACAAATACATAAGTTTTAACAAATACATTTAGTTTCAATATTGATAGTCACAAGAGTAACTACACGAATACGCTATTTTTTTGTTGATAAAATAAAAAGAAAGATTATATTTTATATATGAATCAGAATGAGCTAAAGTGAGTACATATATTGGCCAGTAATTAAAAGCTTTAGTATATTTATATAAATATATCATACACACGAACCAATCATAGAAATGTACATACACACACATATACATAGATATAATATGCATATTTATGGGATGTTTCACTTAATATAAATATTTTCATTATTGATGGTACGGAAAGATATGTAAAAAAGATATTATTACTATAATAATTATTATTAATATTATTATTATTGTTATTAGAATCAAATATTATCGCCATTATTATTATTAAAAGAATATCGTCATTATTATTAAGCGTTATTTATCAAATGTTCCGGGAAAAAATCTTCTGCAGTAGTATAAATGTGCATTGTCAAATATGACAATATATGTGTAATTTAAACTTATATATTTGGACATTTTCACGGTATATATTATATTAAAAAAAATATTTATATAATTCTGTTCTTTGCGACATATGAAGAAAATTTCCATCAATTATTGAGTTTTTAATGTTTTTATCCGGAATTTATTATTACAGATAGTAGAAATAGCTCTATTTGAAACTAATAAAAGAGAACATGATGACAATATTTCGTATAATATGAATCGACCTTAATAAAAAACTCTCAAAGCTGATTTATTTTAAAAAATATTGTATATTAATTTATATATCTCAAAATTAAATTCTCTTTCTTCATGCGATTAAAAAGTTTTTAAAAATACATTTAAGCAAAAAAATAGAACAAAAATATTTTTATTTCTTTGTATATGCTTAAATATTATTATACAAATATTATATAAATATATATATAAAGGCCGATTCAATTTTCAAAATTCAAATTCTCATTATTTAATTTTTTCGTTCTTTACTAGTCTGGAATATATCGATTTTGTGATTACTATTCATCATTTTTAATGTCTATGACATTAATTAGTGTTTAATGATGGTAGTATACTAGCTTCATAATACGTTGTTGAATATGTTTCAAATATGTAAATTTGTATCTAAATTCAGAAAAAAAACAGAAGTTGTAAATAAATTTTTATTTACAAAACCATTGGAAAAAGGTCAATATGGATTTTTATTACTATAAACCAAACGTTTTGTCAACTAGGACGAATTACGACAGGAGAAATTTAAGTGATGTTTAATGGACCAATCTTATTTCTTAATGCGGAAGCGAGTATATCGACGAACATTCACTTTGAAAGCGGTATTTTTTAAATTTGCGTGTCTCAAATACTCAAACTCTATACTCACTTGACTTTAAAGACTCGTTTCATGAACCACGAATATTTTCAATCTTAAGAACACATGATTTCAGATAGATTGACAACCAACCGGCTTGTAATTATAATCAATCTTCGATAATGCTGAAAATAATGGATGTCTCTTTTGCAAAACTATACGCGAGTTGCGTGTAGAATAGCTTTTTTCTTATATTTTGTATATATGTAATGTGATGTACACTGGTTCTCCAAGTACCATTAATCAACTACAGAAATTTGCAACTGCAAAGTGTTGCAAAATTATTGAATTACGAATATCAGCTCACACAGTTAACCTTGGTGGATTGAGCGTTCTTTTTACATCCGGATTGGACACTTGTCTCTCTTAATATCACGTTATTCGCAAATTTATGGAATATATTAATGCAGTTTTACCAGTTAATAATTTTTGATTACGTTATAGCAAATTCTTTTTATTATATCATAAAAGTATCGTAATGTTTATAGCAAATTTCTGAAGAGAATTACATTCAATATACAATTCTTGAAATATTTCATAAATAATGCAAAATAGGACATAAACGGATAAATTTATGTTCTGTTAATAATCAACCTTCTGTAATACAACAATTCGAAAAAACACGCAAGATGTCTTAATTCACTCATAAAACACAGCGAAAAACTACTGTTTTCTACAGAGATCGAAGGGACTTCGCGATCAATCTTGAGTGGATGACAGCAAAGAAAAATTCTGAATGATCTGCCAGATAAAAAAATTACCCTGCCAAGTTTGGGATACCCCGCCGTATCAACTCATGGAACAGATAGTCAATTCGATACCGATAATCGAAACCGACGTATATCATGGTATCGGAATGATACAATCTCCATTCCCAACGTGTATATATACTTACGTATATAATAGCGCGCGTGTGTATACACGCACGTACTAATGCGGATAACAAACGAGCGAGACTTAAAGGAGTGCGTCAGTCTCCACGGCGACTGGTTATACCAGCCGAGCAATAAGCAATCGTTTAAACCCGTCATGACTCTATGCATGAGAGTTGGGCAACACTGCCGCGTACAGGACGATTTTAACCGTTCGTGAGCGCGACTCCCGTTCGGCACGAGTGAAATATCGATAGACGAGCCGGTTTACGAGTCTGCGACACGACCAGCTCGTCTCACGTTCGCGACGCGCAAAAGCGAATTTCCACGGGAACGGCGACTAGTCCCAGAAAGAGAGAGAGAGAGAAACCGCACATAAACGTAAATCTCTAGAAATAGAATATATAAACGTTGAGAAGTGATTGACTATTGTCGCTGCTCATTCCGTGTACCTCTCGGAAATTCATTCCACCATGTTATTCGCACTATGCCGTGGATAGAAAATATTTGTGAATGTTAATTCAATGTAAATGTAATTAATTATATTTAATCGTTTTACATAAATATGTGATATTACAATTGTGCAAAATTTAAGCTGGTTTCGCTGAATTAGATTTTTAATTTAATACTAATCTTAATTTTCCTACTTCAAAATATAATTTAAAATAAAAAATTATTATAGTACCAAAGAAATTTATCAGAATATAAATCGTGTTGAAATTGATTAGAAATTAGATTTAATATATAATAGCAATAACAACAGTTTGCTATTTATTTAAATATTGGTCTACAGAAAAACAAGTAATTTTGCTATAAATTTCTATTGTCATACCTGAATTCCTATATATTTTAATAAACGAGATGCATGAAAAGTTCCTAAAATTACTTATCGAAATTTTTTTTTGATTTCGCGATATAACGAATTTAAACAACCATGCATCCAATTGTTGTTATGTTTAATCATACAACAATGATCACACGGTACATATTGACTACCTTAAAAAACACATGAGAATATTACATGAATAAATTTATGAAGAATCATCATCGATTAAGTCATCATCGACTATATTATTTTCATGAATATATAGATTATATAGCTATCAATAAGGAGATTTATATCGTAACTGGAAACGTGCGCGCGCGCAGTCGCAGCGGTCTGTTTGGACTTTAGTCTAAGACGCTAGTCGCTTTCTCTTCGAAGCGACTTACGGAAGATGCGTACAGCGATCAACCGGAGCGGCGACAACAAGAGAAGAAACGTACAATGTACAGCAGACCGTGTGAGCATAATACGTAGAATGTCAACGATTCTCCTGGGACACGCTAGACAAGTTATCGGCAACGAACGCGAAAGTCGACCCGAGCGCCGGCTGCTCGCCTATGTCTCGAATAACATCGGGTAAGAGACGTCGGGAATTCTGTGTGCGGTTAGCCGTCGTGCATTTTCTTATTTTATTTCCCCTTACCTATTTCCCTCCCTGATCGAGCAAATTAATAATTCAAAGAGTCAACTGTAATGACGCCTAATTGATTGCGCGAAATGTGGCGTTCGCGTAAAACCACTGGACGCGCGGCCGTGAGTAATGAACCGTGTATCCGCGTAATTATTAATTTCTAGAGTCGTTGACGGTTTTACAAAGTGGTACCATTTATTTCGTTAGTTCAAAAATCACGCCATGGCCGACGGACCGGACGACGATAGAAGATACGAGCCATCGCGGCGCGCAATACGGTAAAAATAGATCTGAGATGGAATTATAATTATCTTACTGATGTCGACGAATTCGTAATCGTCTCATTAACGTCGACGACAAACTAACTTTCTATAGCATTTCTATTTTAATAAGATCTAAACATATATCATATATATGATACTTAATATCATATGTACTTTACGTACCGTACGTACACTCGACTTGAATTCGCCATCGAGAAATCGTTATTATTATGCTATTTCAAACGTACCTATTATGATACAATAACAATAGTATAATAAGCTATTTGTATTGTCATCTTTAGCTGTAGTAAATGTCTAAATACTGTAATCAAGGTAAAAAAATACAAGTAATGAGAAAGTGATGAAAAGTTGAAGTTGAAGAAAATTTTTATTAATTTAAAACCGCGGGATCTAATTCACGGCGATTTAGTTGTCGTAGTAGACAAACCGAGGAGAAATTGCGTTGTTCAATGCGACGCGAAGACTATCGTCGGTATCGATAAACCTCACCGTGAAGTATATACAGGCTTATACGGATACCTGGCGTGCACGGAGAGCGTTAGGGGTTAACGAGGGCCGATCGTGCGATCGGTCGATCTTTCCCAAGAGCCGAAGCGGCCCAATTAGAAGGCACATAAAAGCCGGGCGCATAATCAGCAATTTGTATTGTCGAAGGATAAGGGCGCGCGCGTGCGCTCGCTCGCGAAAAGAAGACCGTCTCTATCCCACCCTCTCGGTGCGCCCTCATTCCGTCTCTCTCGTTCATTGTTCTCCTCTGTACGCCCACTCCTCTTTCTTTCGGAGCCACTTTGCAAAATAACTTCATACACACAAGGCGAACGACGTTGGACGAAGGGATGAGAGGTAAGGGCGCTGATGCAGCGCCGCGCTCGTTGACGGTGCCGGCTCGGTGAGATCGAGGAGGGGAAAGACGAGAGGAGGGCTGGCACCCGATTAAGCTATGCAATCGCCAATTATCGGCAATTTGATCCGGTTATAACTCAATTTAAAGTAATTGGGCCGCGTCGAGCGCTTGCTCCTCATGAGTCTTTCGTATGTATTAAGACGCCTTGCGTACGCACACACACACACACACACACACACACACACACACACACACGCTTGCACTCACGTGTGATTTATGTATGTATATGTACAATGCACGTACGAACGACGGACATACAAAAGAAGGAACGTGAAAGGTAAAGAGAGAAAGACAGAGAAAGGCAAAGAAGAAACGGGAGAGAGACGTCCCGAGGAGCAACGTTGTAACGGCTTGCATTTAAGAGACTCAGCCTGGCTGCTTTTAGCGCCC